TCTCTCTCTCTCTTTCTCTCTCGTTCTCTCTCTCTCTCTCTCTCTCTCTCTCATATATGAGAATTTTAGATATATATATGTATATATATATATATTCGATATTTGTATGTTTTTCCAAAAAACAGATAGTTGTAATATCGTCTGATTTTTCTTGAGTTTATTTTCTTTTTCGTTCTCCTTTCAGTACTCCCCTATCCTTCTTTATTTTGTCTTCGACATAGTATATATGAATACCCATTCTACATATAGCACGACGAATCAAAAATAATTTCAATTTGTATTATTTTTGTTTCTTTTTCCTTTTCTTTTCTTTCAACTACATATAATAAGAGATAATAAATTTCTTTTTTTTAAACAAGTTGTAGAAACAATATAATAATGAGAATTAATAATAATTATTAATAATAATTCCACAATAATTAAAAATAATAATAATTTTTAAATTTGTAAATAAATTAATAAGTTATCAAAGAGTTAAATTTTTAAATTTGTAAAAATAATAATAAGAAGAATTTAATATATAATAGAACAAATATAAAAGAATAAAGATATATTTAAATCACACTAATGGTCTTTTAAATGACATAATTAAAATCTATACGATATAATATATTATATATGTTTAACAGTCAGTCAGACCATGATCATTATAATAATTTTTTTCTCACGTTTGTTTCTTTGTTTTTTTGTTTGATGGTATATCCCTTTTTAAGTGTACAATGCTTATTCCTTTCGAGAACACGATAAAGTATTAAATGTTATTGGACAAACAAAATATCAGAAAAAAGTATGTAGTTCTTTTTGTATTCGCTTTGTTTCTTGAAATAATGGTGTAAATATATATGTATATATATGTAACGCAAAGGAGTCCCCATGCGTTATTTTAAAATATGTTGGAAGTTTATTACGCTGATTAAAAGCTGTAATTGCTAAAGCGATATACAAAACTTAGTTTTTTCTTGTGTGCAAGAAAGATGTTCAATTAATTCAATTTAAATGGTACTTGTCTAATCACTAACAATGTCAATATAGGGTACGATTTTTCAATAATATTATTATTATTATTATTATTATTATTATTAATCTTCTTCTTCCTTTTCTTTTTTTTTCTTTGTTTCTTCGTTTAACAATATGTAAGCAAAAATTTATCAATTACGTAGAAGAATGACTATATAATTCTATACATATTTAGGATAATAAGAACTTTGAGATTGTAAAAATCATCAAAAAATCTATCACAATTACAATCCACGTAACAATGAATTTTCTTTTTCGTTTCGCTCTTCTCTCTGTCTGTATTTTATTTCTTCTTTCTTTTTTGTTTAAATAATTCTTTTTCTTTTTTTCACGTTTCTTTGTCGTTTTTTTCATCTTCTTTTGTTTTAATTATTATTATTTTTTTTATTTTATTATTGTATGTGTAATTCAAACATCAAGGCAAATAAGGGGTAAATTTTAACAGTGGCCTAAAATTAGCCAAGTAGTCTTCCACAGATAAAAGTATGTAAATAGAGTAAATCTATACTAAAATATTCAAATATATATAAGGTGTGAGCGTAATATATAATAATATTATTTTTTTTTATTTTCTTTTTTTTTTTTTGAGGTAAAAGATCCTCTTCTTGTAGTTTCTTTTCTTTTTGTAATGGTCAGCCATTCGTGTTATCTTCCAGTATTCTTTTTCACTTTACGTGTCTTCTTTTTCTTTCATCACTTTCTTCTTCTTCTTCTTTTTCTCATATTTAATGTACCATAATGGAGGCAATAGATTGCATCGTAAACATATATTGCATGCCATTGTATACGGAACAAGCTTATGATTTGTTTTTTTTCCTTTTTACATATACAATGCCAAAAAACAATGCGACAATGCGAATCGTGAGTGCTCTCTCTTTCATTGGTACTTCTAATTAATATTTACCTAGCAACAACATCAGAGACTCTTTAAGGACACAACTTATATCCTGAAGATACTATTATCACAGGCATTATTTATATAACTCTGCTAACCACGACTATTAAATATATATATATATATATATATTTATGTATGTATATAAGAATTAGTTTATATATGTATATTGTGTATAGCTGTGTTTTATGCATATTATAATGTAGGTGTATGTATATGTGTATATATATATGTATGCATGAAAAACTTCTAGAGGTACAAGAGACGATTCTTTTACAGTTGATCAGTGCGTATGCTAAACGTCTATGTAATTTTACATTTTTTTTCTTTTTTCTTTTTAAATATTTTCCTCTATATATATATTTATGTTCTCCGTCTGTCTATCTGTATAATATATTAACTGTCTCTTTCTATATATATATACACAGCACGCACACGCGCGCACATACACATACACACACACACATATATATATATATATGGGTTTCGTGCAATAAACTACATATATCGATATCTTACACGCAAAGGTTTTTAAGAATAATAGTTTATCGTCGTGTGATATTCGTTTTTCCAAAATTATCCCTACACAAATTCGAGTTACTTAATAAGCAGCAATCCGTTAGGTTGTTACAGAAAGAGTGGGTGGGTTATGGGTGGGCTGCACTTTAGTAGGGGTATAGGGGGTGTTGAAGTAATAGCATTGATAACTTTTAATATGTGCAAACGTTACCCCTATATAAGAAAGCTATATATATATATATATTTAAGTATAAATATATACTATATATGTATATACGAATGTGCTACATATGTATGATTTGGTTTGGCAAAAAATAATAATATTTGTAAACAAATATTATCTTAGACGATATACGTAATAACATTGTGGTGTTTTAGTTGTTATGTATGTAGCGCAATCTGCCAAATATTTAAATATACATGCTGTATACACATATATATATGTAGCATTTTTTTTCTGTTTTTTTTTTTCTTTTTCTTTACTTCAATCAAATCTTAAGGCTGATCATCATGTAAACAACCCTAAAAAATATGTGTATTTCTATATATGTATGCGCTTTTATGTATGGAATTTATCTCCTTCCTTTCCTTCCTTCCTTTACGTGGATCTCATCGTATTGTATATACATAAATAGAAGTTGTTTAGCAAACTGTACGCATTTAGTTACTTTTTGTTTGGGTTTTCCTTTCCTTCTTCCTTTCTTTCTTACATAGGTGAAGTGTATCGTTTTTATGCGATACCATTGGTATATTGTTCAATTATAACGAACCTTGTGTTTAATACTACATTACGTGCAAATCATTTTCACTTATTGTAGAATACGAAAATGATTTTTGACGTGTAAGTTAATAACAAATACATATACATACGTTATTAATGGATGCAAAATGTTCGTTAGCACCACAAAACCAGTAATTCATATACGCATATATATACATATACATATATATATTAATATAAAATACAAATAAATAAAAAAAATATATATATATGCGTATGTGTATTTTTTTTTCTTTTTTACTTTTACTTTTTTTTTCAATGTGTATATTATACTATTATATCATATATAATATATATGTACACGTATGTATATATATTATATAATGAATGATACATATATGACCTCCATATATATTGTGATAATGTCATATATATGTAGATTTCTGTGAAAGATGGACCATAATAAAGCATCCTGAGTAAATATTGTATAACCATTATGTACCTCACATTACTAATTTTAACAATGCACAAATGGAATCTACTCAAGTGGCAAGTCTAAATAGTTATTCTTCAATCTTTTTTTTTTTTACATGCGCTTTAAAATATGTTCTGCAAGATGGCTTCTTATTCTTTTTTTTTTCTTTTTTTTCATTTTCTTTCTTTCTTTTTTTTCTTGTCTCTTGACTTTCTTATAAGTAACTAAATGTTTGATTTTCAACATACCATAAGTTAATTTTCTTATCTTTTTCTTTCTTTCGACGACACATTAACTTCTACATAACGCATTATCAACAATTGTGACACAAAAACGCGCTGCGACAGAGTATAATAGTTTGCAAACTTTGCGTCCTATTTAATAAGCCCAAGAGTTTAGTCCTTAAGTTAAGTAACTCTTAGACTTTTTTTTTAATATATTATACGATATAAGAATAATAAGCAGGAGAATAGCTATGAACTACTACCGACCTTTGAAGCATGCAATTATCATTTTTTTTCTTTTTCATTTTTTTTTCTTCTCAGATTTGACAAACACAGAAACTTTGATGCTCACAAGGAGAAATATAGAATAGTCTGCGCGTATCGTATGTTTGTTTTTTTCATTTTCTTTGCTGTTATCTATACAAACTTATAAACTTTATCAAAAGAAAAAAAAAAGATAGAGATAATTTATAATATAATAAAAAAAAAACAAGAAAAAAAAATTAAGAACAAAACAAAACAAAACAAAAATAAACCTATGAGATAGAGAGAGAGAGAGAAAACAGTCTAATATATATATGTATATAATAATAATAATAA